GCTCCCAGAACTGTGAGAAATAAATGTCTGTTCTTTTTTTTTTTTTTTTTTTTTTGAGACAGAGTCTCACTTTGTTGCCCTGGCTTGAGTGCCGTGGCGTCAGCCTAGCTCACAGCAACCTCAAACTCCTGGGCTCAAGCAATCCTCCTGCCTCAGCCTCCCAAGTAGCTGGGACTACAGGCATGCGCCACCATGCCCGGCTAATTTTTCTATATATTTTTAGCTGTCCAATTAATTTCTTTCTATTTTTGGTAGAGACGGGGTCTCACTCTTGCCCAGGTTGGTCTCGAACTCCTGAGCTCAAACAATCCGCCCGCCTTGGCCTCCGAGAGTGCTAGGATTACAGGCGTGAGCCACCGCGCCCGGCCTAAATGTCTGTTCTTTAAGCCACTGTGTCTATTGTATTTGTTATTGCAGCCCAAGCTAATACAGTCCCAAGCATGCAATGGCTGTTCATTGAATAACTGAATGGATAAATTAATTAATTAATAAATAAATGAATACTGTGCCGCTGGGTTTCATAAATGGCCAATATAAAAACCAGCCAAATGAGGATTTTCTATTCATTTCTTGTAAAATTATAATTTAGAATATCATTAGTTATATTATTCACTGTCTTTAAATAAATATTTCTGTGGTAAATTATCCTCAGACCTAAGGAACAAGAGTCTTTTTCTCATAGACTAATATGTTTCTTACTAGATAGTCATGGTTACATAACCCATCATGTTTCCTTCTTTGTTCCAGCTGTTAGGAAACTGATAACAATTATCCTTCTCTATCCGACTGCTAGAAAATTCCAATCTGTGACCTCCTGTGTGGTCTGACCTTCCCTGATAATGGCTGCCTGTGAGCTTATTATGTATACAAGGTTCCAGACATTGCAAAACACAGATATAGGTGTGGGGGTGGGCACAGAGGGTGGAGGTGTTATGGTAGATTAGATGTGACTTAAGCAATAGCAGTCAAGGATGGAAAAACTAAAACAAGTTAGAAAATAGAACCAACAACTAGAATCAAAAGCAAATAAACATATGTCATAGCTGGAGGGGCAACATAAAGGAAGAAATGAAAAATAGGAAAAAAAAATACAATCAAGTAAAACAGCAGCAGTCTCCAACATTTTTGGCACCAGGGATCGATTTCATGAAAGACAATTTTTCCACGGGCCTCCGGTGGGGTGGAGAGCTCTGCGGCGGCCCAGTCACTAGGTCCCTAACAGGCCACGGACCATGGATTGGTACTGGTCTGTGGCCTAGGGTTGGGGAATGCAGGAGTAAACAATCAAACAAAAGATAAACTATGATAGCTGAGTTTGGTGAAGATTTGCCATTTTTCTTGGCCTAAAGGATGGGAGTTATTTGTTCAGTTGTTAAAGCTGCCAAGCGCCAGGGAGACCTATAAGAAACCACAGCACAAGAGCTGACATAGGCGGTTCACACAGACCATTAAAATGGCTCTATGCCAGAGATGACATCTAGAAAATTAGTCTATTAGCTGCTTCCTGTGGCCATCTCTCATCACCTCATCAGTTTTCCCCAGGTTCTAATCCTGGATTCTGTTATCGGCAGGGTTACTAAACCTTGGCATTATTGACATTTTGGGTCAGATAATTCTTTGTTGTAAGGAGCATTCCTGTGCATTGTATAATGTTTTAGCAGCATTCCCAGCTTCTTCTCACTAGATGCCAGTAGCTGCCCCTCCCAAGTTATGATAACCAAAAATGTCTCCAGGCATTACCAAAGGTTCCTGGGGTCAGAATCTCTCCTGGTTGTCATGGGTGATTTATCAGTCAGGGTACAGTCAGGAGACAGAAACCATACCAGTTATTCAAACATAAAATTTAATATAAATAATTGCTAAGTATAAAGTTATTAAGTAGGATACTAAAATCATTAAAAAGAACTCTATCATAGAGATAGCAACTGTAGGAAGTTGGGAAGGATTTTGCAGTAAAGTTTGTATAAAGCAGTTAAGCATTCCCAAAGAGGTTATAACGAAAGATGGGAATTAAAGGTAGATGTGGATGGGAGAGAGACACAGATGCAAGGCCTATTCTAAGCTATACTAAGAAATTTTTATTTTTCCCTGAAGGTAGTTGGAAGCCACTAAATGATACTAAGTAGCAAAGTGATAGGACTAATCTTACAATTTTGAAACTACATAATGGCAGTTGTAAGAAAATTAAACAAAAGACAGAGGGTTTGAGACATGAGATAGAAGGCAGGGAAACTACTAAAGTCTGGTGAGAAGTTATAAGGATCTGAACTATGACAGGTAGATTCTGAGGACTATTTAAAATACAGTCTCTAATTTATCTCGTTCAACTCATTTGATATGGACAGTCTGCTATAATTCAACGATTGCTACCCTGGCCACAATACTTGTCAGTTTTTATTTTTTATTCAAAAATATTTGAGAACTTCTCCTGACCATTAGGAGCAACTGGCAGTGAACCAGCCCCTTCTACCACTACCACAATTTAAAAATTACATAGCTAGAAAAAATATATGAAATAACTGTCTTTATATGTTGGACAAAAGGAGTGCAGGATTGTGAACCTAGAGAAAAGAAACAAATGAGGTGAGCCCTACAATCACCCAGAGTTCTTCCTAGAGACACTTTCTAGACACAGCAATCCTGCAAAGCTTAGCAGACAGGGATAGCAGACAGGAAATCAGGGATATCCATACTGCTGGAAGTTGCAAGGCTGACTACTGGACAGAAGGAAGCTACACAGAGAAAAAGATCCAGAAATCTGTATATGGTTCCCTTGAGTCTTTTGCCAAATACTAAGCTGTGCACAGAGTGAACCTACTACAAAGCTGCACAAGGAACAACTACCAGAGAAAAAATAATTTACCAAGCAGCGGTGTGCTAAACAACTACCGGAGGTCACCCAAGTCTAGGAGGTATCCTTGTTTTGATCTGCAGGTGGAGAGACCTTACTGAAAATCTTTTTTGTTGCTGATTGTATTCCTTTATATGGATGTACTATTATTTGTTTATCCACTCATTTGTTGAACATTTGGGTTGTGTCTAGTTTGGGGTATTACCAAATGAACCTGTTATGAACCTTTTTATCTCAAAACAAGTATACTGAGTGAAAGAAACCAGACCAAAAAAGAGTGTATACAGTGATTCCATTTCTATAAACCTTTAGAAAATGCAGATGATTCTACACTAACAGAAAGATCAGTGGTTGCTTAGGTGAGGGAGGAAGGGAGGGAGGAAGAAATTACAAAGGGGTAAGTGGAAACTTGAGGATGATGGACATACTTCATCATGGTGATGGCTTCAAGGGGGTATACACATGTCAAAACTTATCAAACTATACACATTAAATATGTTCCATATATTATATGTTAATTATACCTCAATAAAATTATCTTTAAAAAAAACACTGCAACTCAGCTGTCAGATTTTGAGGGGAGTGGAAAAGAAGCAGAATGGAAATCTCAGTTAAAGGCCTCAGTGAGGTTTGTGAATTATCCAAGTATGCAAGGAATTTGTGCTTCCTCCATCTTGCTGAGCCTTGGCACAGTTTAATAAGCCATCTCACTACTATTCTCTAGAAATGGTGTCAACCACCATATTATGTTTGTTTTAGGGAAGAGAATGACCTAATCAGTATAAAATGAACTCCATGTCTTGTGAGAGATTGTCAATTAAACATATAATCCATATTTACACACATTTTAAAAGGGTTTCTACTAGCAGGATAAGTTTAATATTGAGTGTGAACTTTTTGCATGTGTGTGAATTCCAATACACTAGTTTATTTACTCTCTCAGAGCCTCATCTATAAAACGCCATAAAAAATAAGGAAAACTAGGAAACTAAAAAGAGGAGGCTTTGCTAGAGTTATTAATTATTCTTTTTTGGGGCAAAACCATCTTTCTTGCCCCTCTGCTCCAAGAGACATCATTTCTTCCCATTTCCATCAGCAGTCATTATCTTGATTAAGTCAAGTTTCTCTCCCAGCCTCCATCCCTCTATCACTAGACTCTTTGAAAGCAGTCTATGAGGAAGGTCCCTACCATAGCCTTGGCTGACCATCACATTGGTCAAGAAGTCATCCAACCTCCCCCAGGCTCAGCCTGTGACTGAAACACACTGAACTACCAGGCTGGCCTTGAGCTCTCCACAACAGCCCTCATGTATTCTGGAGGTTGGGCCTCACTTTCCAGACACTCGTTTGTTGAATGGCTGGATGAGGGAAATCTCAACAGCATCTCATTTGTACTTGCAGTGGAGGCAGTTTTCCAGGGTAGCCTGTGTTCTCCACACATAGAGGCATGTGGGGCTTTGATTCTCTAAGAGAGGATACAAAATCTAGGGTCTAAGGAACAGAGATAGCGGTCGAGCCCACAAACTAACATTAAGCAGTTCTAATTTCATTTCCCAGCACCGTCACTTGCTGTGTGGGGCCCTATCTCCCAAATTCAATTTTTTCAACCCTACAATGGGACTAAAGCTATCTATGTTTTTTTTTAAATAATATTAACTTCCATGTAAATTACCGCCTATTGGTCAATCATCACCTTTAACACTAAAGCTGGCATTTAACACACTAATTCAACTTTCTCCTAAATATATACTTAAAAGTTTAAATAATTACAATTTACTGAGAAAACAAAGTTTTTCTTCTTCTGAATTAAGAACTTGACAAGACCTAAAAGCAAACTAAACTCAAGTAAAACCTTAAAATGGTACAAACCTCAACAAGCCAAAGAGGTTTTGCCAATAAAGCTCCGCCTCCGTGCAAACCCTGCCCACTTCCGTCTGCCCCACCCACCCCCAAACACTGAACCCCGCCCCTCTTTGCGAGATCCCGCCCCTTGCACCTGATCCTGGTTCCCATTGGGCGAATCTGGAAGCTGTATACACACCAGACACACGCATGTTTGGCTAGGGCGTCTTCGCGCCTGCGCAGCAGCGCCGTCAGCCGGCTGGAAACTGGGGGCTGGGGGGAGGGGGGCGGAGGTCAGGCAGAATCTTCCTTCGTAATAAGCAGCGACGCCTCCCGCGGTCCTGGCTCCGTGGGTCCGGTCGGATTGGACCTGGGCGCTGGAGCTACTGTGGCTCCCGCCTCGGCGGGTGCGATGGAGGCTGTGCCGGAGCCAAGCACTCATGCCAGGGGAGGCCGAGACAGCCGGCGGTGCTAGTAGATGAGGTGGCGGCGGCGGCGGCGGCAGCCCGGGCTCTCCATGAGCAAACGGCGGCGGCGACGGGTGCGGCGGCACCGGCGGTTTTCGGTCCCCGGGGAGGTACGAGGAGTCGGCTTCCTGGTGGACGGAGACTGGCCGGTGTGGGAACGCCTTCCACAGCCCGGCCCTCCCGCCCATTTGCCCGCAGTCCCGGACGCTCAGCGGGTTCATTGCCCGGTCAGAGGCAGGGGCACCCAGGCGACTCATCGGCTCCGGGTGTGGGCATCTGCCCCTCGTGAGGAGCCAGCCTTGGTGCCAGGCCTCCTGGGCGCGGCCGGCCAGGGGCAAGGTGGGCGTGGCCGGAGCGCGAGGGGCTGGAAGAAGGCGCCCACCGCGCGCCCAGCTGGTCCCTGCCCCAAAGCCCCGCGCTGCTTCAAGGCAGAGCGCGTGGCGGTTTTCTCAGAGGAGTGTTTCGGGACGCTGATTCCAGAGGGGACCCTGAGAACCCCTGATCCCTTAGGGAGTCCGGCATTAAGTGCCTTGGGCAGTGTTCTGGTCTCCACGGCCAGCTTGGGGTACAGAGTGCCACCCTTGAAAATGACCACAAAAGAAAGGCGTCGTTTTGCTAAGGAAATAGAGGTCGGAGAGTTCTCCACATTTATTCAAACTGGAGGGCCTGTTGAGGCAGAAAGATGAAGACAGCTGAATACATCCTCCAGTGCTTCCAATACAGTGTTTAACACCAGCCTTTTGACAATGTGACGAAAACCTAAGACAATTTTGAGTATAGCTCTCGCCATCTCCCCCCCGCATTTTTATTGCAGTCACCAATGCCAAAACGATTGTTACCCCTAGTTCTTCCAATCCTCCCCTTCCATTTTCCAGAAAAAGACTAAAGAAGTTAGTTTCATGGCATTTATATCATTGTGGTTAATTCTCTTAGAATATAGCTATTGCTTTACAGAGCTATATTTAATCTTCATTTGGTCATGTCTAAAAGATAATTTGAAGAAAAATACTAGACATTTATGTTTCCATTGTAATGTTTAGGAATCTGAACTCAGGCTCTTTAAGCAATCTTAAACCTTGCTACAAAGTTCTTTAAAATTCAACAGAAAGAAATCAAACCATAAAGTTATATTCATTTTTAAAGTATTTGAATGCCTTATGATTTTTTAAACGAAAACAAGTCAGTTTCTGTTGAGAAACTGAGTTTGTGTTTCGTAAACTACAGATTTGCCACACCCGCTTATTCCTAAGTAGTTGACTAGAACCAACATGTTAACAGACTAGAATAAACATCTACACTTCAGACTAAATATAGTGTTGAATATTAAGTTCACTGGTATTGCTTCAAGCTGAAAACGCTGTGTGTGCGTGTGTTTAATATTAATATATTGTAGAACTGAATTTTTAATCAGCTTGTATTGCAGATATTTTGAACTTAATGATTTCTCACAAATAAAACACATAGATCTGCATTATTATTGAGTGTTGAGTTCATGCTGTGCTTGGGAGGATGTGGCACTTGAAAAGATGATCAAAATAAGACACTGATCTCAGTCACTCATTTCTCTGTTCCTATTCCTCAGGTGCTTCCCTTTTCTCATAAAAATACACTTTTCCATAAAAGTAACATATTGGAAAACAATATGATCTTAATTTAGACATTTGTTTGCCCCAAGTAAAGTGGAGCAATTTTTTCAATACAATTTTGAAAGGAACTCATTCCTTGTTTTTAAAAAATGTGCTTTATATAACGTACATATGACATAAGCATGTTTATTAAAATACTGTCGTGGCTTTAAAAACAAAATGCTTAATTATCCTCAATGTTGGGGAAGGATAGGTGCCAGTTTAAAGAGGGAGGACACTTCAGTTCATTCCCAAAACATGCATGGGGGATAATCAGCATATTTGTCAGTTTCTGAATCAGATCTTCATAGCATGGCTTCTGCAGTTAAAAGTTACAGAATATCTAAATTGCATAGTTAACAGAACAATTCTAAGTTGCAAATAAAAATCCCAAAGTGAATGGAAATATTAGCTATGCTGCTAGTCATTTAAGTTCTTATGATTAATATTCCCCATATATTGTCTTTCAAAGCTAGATATCAGAATTAGTCTTAGTCTATAGCAACAGGAGTTGTTACTACATAGTTTTTCTATACCAAAGATAAAATGCGTAGTATAATTAATATAAAGACCATCAAATAGCTATTATTCTATCTCCCAACTAAGGATCCCATTATATTAGTTTAAGCGGAACCACCCATATTATCAAGAAAATGAAGCACGGCCTTGTATTTTGAAGGGAGGAAGAGGTTTACATCAGGAATATACCTAACCAAACTTAGTTTGCATCTTTAAACAACTTTATTTTCATTTAGAATTTTTATATCACAGATAAAATGCAACGTAATTAACATAAAGACCTATCAGATTGCCGTTCTGTACCTTGAAAAGAGATTGCAGCTTCTTAAATGGTCTTTCCAGAGACCATTCATAGTACCCCCAAAAGTGGCTCATTTAAATTTTTTTTGTTACCCTGGGAGGGCTTCTAAACAAATTTAATTTGAATCATTAGATGGATTTATTTTCATTTAAAAATATCTCATGCATTTAACATACAAAATCACAAGTTTACATGTTCTATTTTAAACTTTTAAAATGCAGGATGAAGACACTGTTTGAAGAGATCAAAGCATCAATTAAAAATAACTACAACCAAGATCGATCATTCTGGAGACCTGTTCTTCCCTGGGGAGGTGTATTTACAATCAAAGCTGGCCGCAAAGCAGTATCCTGTACACCACTCTATGTTGAGATAAAACTGAAAAATACCTGCACCATAGATGGATTCTTGATGCTATTGTATGTCATTCTTAATGAAAATGAAAATTTCCCCAGGGAACTCTCTCTTCACTTTGGTAGAGAGTTTGTAGACTGTTTTCTTTATTTAATGGACACCTACAGTTTTACAACTGTGAAGCTACTTTGGATTTGGGACAAGATGGAAAAACAGCAATACAAATCTGAAGTTCATAAAGCTTCACTAATAATTGATTTGTTTGGGAATGAGCATGATAATTTTACAAAAAATCTGGAAAATCTCATGTCTACCATTCAAGAGAGTTACTGTTCCAACTGTCGATGCCCAACTCGCGTACAGGAAGATCAGCAGCGCACAATTAATATAAAGTAAGTTGCCCTAAAGTCTTTTGTCACTTCTACTTTTTATAATGAATGTTGCTTTAAATATATGTAGTAATGCACCACATAATGATGTTTGGGTTAACAAAGGACTGCATATATGAGGGCAGTCCCATAAGATTATAATACATATATTTACTGTACCTTTTATATGTTTAAATACACAAACACCTACCATTTAGTTACAGTTAACTATAGTATTCAGTACCATAACATGCTGTACAGATTTGTAGCCTAGGAGCAATGGGTTATATACCTTATAGCCTAGGTGTGTAGTAGACTGTACCATCTAGGTTTGTGTAAGTACACTCTATGATGTTCACACAACAAAGAAATTGCTGAAGGACACATTCTCAGAATATATCCCTATTGGATGATACATGACTGTGTTGCCAAAGTACTTGTTAAAGTAGAGCCTGTGTAACTACTTATGCATGAAACAACCACACAAACGTAAGACTCTTCTGCAGGTCCCCTGAAAAAAATATTAGTCTATTACATCCAAACATCTTAGAATTACTTTACAATAAACCTTTTTAGTAGCAAAGTAATAAATTAGTCAATATGCAAAATGTTTTACTTTTTCTTTGAGTTTACTACTATGACTATGTCAGTAATTCTTTGTGTTACAAATTTAACCTCTTAAAAGCACTTAATACTGTTTTGGAATGTTTCACCCTTTGAATGGATCTCTGTCAGGAAGGCAAGTTTCACGTGAACAAGAGGATTAAAAAGTATTTTTTCATATCATGGCCAGGGCATAATTATAGACAGAAACCTCGAACTTGGCATCTCACAGCTGAAGGAGATGTGGATGTGAGAAGGTTTTACACTGACTAGGAAAGGTGCTGGGAGCCAGCCGAGTGTTTTTGGCCTTCAGAGAGAAGGCAGACCTCCAAGGTGGTAAATGACAGGGAGGGAGTCCAACCTGGCAAGCCCCAGTGGAGTGCTGGGAAACATTAAAGCCCCTGGGGGACATGAGCTGGAAAAGGGATAATTGCCAGTGAAGAAAAACAGACCCAAACACATTGTTGTCAGACAAGGTATTTGTCCCTATGGTCCAGAAAAACAGCCTAATAGATGTTCCCATTTGGAAATGTACATCACCTACCCTAATTTATTAAACTCACATTTTTTCTGAAATATATTTTGTCTGTTTTCTTGTATTACTGATATGATCATGTTGATTTTGAAATCTCTGTCAGTGTAAAATTTTCTTACTCTACATCATAATGGTTTCAGGCAGGGCGGTGGCTCACACTTGTAATCCTAGCACTTTGAGAGACTGAGGTGGGAAGATCACTTGAGGCCAGGAGTTTTAGAGCAGGCTGAGTAAGAGCGAGACCCTGTCTCTACAAAAAATAGAAAAATCAGCTGGGCATCATGGTGCGTGCCTGTAGTCCTACCTACTAGGGAGGCTGAGGCAGGAGAATCACTTGAGCCCAGGAGTTTGAGGTTGCAGTGAGCTATGATGATGTCACTGCACCCTAGCTTGGGGACAGAGTGAGACCCTGTCTCCAAAAAAATAAAATAAGTAAATTTTTTTTAAAAACTATTTCAAAACTTTATCTTGTTTTTTTAAAAACTGGTATGTTTTAATTGGTAAATATTTTGAAACCATAATAAAATATTTATAATTCCATTAATACTAATATTTTATACTTCTCTCTTTTAATAAAATATTTTTCATCATACTCTATAACTTTTTAAAACTTTTGCTTATATTTTATGCCTGTATTTAAAACAACCTCTGAAGTATGTAGGAAAAATTTTTTTAACAGATCAGGTACCTGAGGCCAAGAGTGGTTGTGACTTTTATTTGGTCAGGTAACTAATCATATTCTTTCCTGAAACTGAGTCCAAGTTTTTTTCCACCAGACTAGATTCCCTTTTTTGAATCCTCTCACAAATTTTTTAGATTAATGTAGCCACATCTGCATACCTCAGGATTGTTTACAGAAGAATGTAATATTTCTTGGAAAATGTCATACATTAATGTTTATTGAGTTCAACTGGTTTCTATACTACCTGCTAGAAGTACAAAGATAGACGACAGAGGTTGTACTTGGTATACTTCTGCGGTCCCCAGCCTAGGGCTGCTGTTCCATGGCCTGTTAGGAACCAGGCAGCAAACAGGAGGTAAGTGGCAGGCAGGCAAGCAAGGGAAGCTTCATCTGTATTTACAGCCGCTTCCCATCACTTGCATCACTTCCTGAGCTCTGCCTCCTGTCAGATCAGTGGCAGCATTAGATTTTCATAGGATCACCAACTGTACTGTAAACTGCACATGCAAGGGATCTAGGTTGTATGCTCCTTATGAGAAACTAATAACTGCTGATCTGAGGTGGAGCTAAGGCAGTGATGCTAGTGTTGGGAAGTGACTACAAATACAGATTATCATTAGCAAAGAGATTTGACTGCACAGAGATCATAATAAATCAATTGCTTGCAGACTCATATCAAAACCCTGCCAGTGAGTGGTAAGTGACAATGTAATAATAATAGACATAAAGTGCACAGTAAATGTAATGCACTTGCATCATCCCAAAACCATTCCCTGCCCCCAGGTCCGTGGAAAAATTGTCTTCCATGAAACCAGTCCCTGGTGCCAAAAAGGTTGGGGACTGCTGGTATACTTGGTTTTGCTACTAATAGATTGACTTGTAAAATTTGTTATTCTAATAATTTTTTAGCCTGTAAAATGTTGAAGCAGTTCTTACATGCAGTTTACAATTATTATAGTCCTCCCCAAGAAATTCCACATGGAAACTTGATACGACTGGCTGTGGATGAGTTATTCTGTTCCAAGATTGAACTGTGTGAAGAGCGTGGGTAAGTATATGATAGACATTTAAGATGGAAGTATTTCTGTGTTGTTTATAAGGAAACCTGGGCTGATGTGCTCTTTGAAGTTCATGCTTTATGAAACGACAATTTAAGTATTTGGGAAGCCTAACACTTTTTTAATCTTATTAACAAATTCAGTTTACTATGCCATCTTATGCTGTATTTTCAAGTAGCACAATATAGAATATGGTACTACAGCTAATTGATGAACAAAAGCAAATGCCTTTCTTTTTTCCCCACTACTGAGTAGGTACAATAAAACCTTGGTTAACCGGAACTCAGCTAATCGGGACCCTCAGTTAACTGGAATTTTTTCTGCATTCCTCATTTAGGAGAAAGAGGTAAATGACAATAAAAAAAATTAACAGAGTAAAAAAAAAGAGGGGGCAGAACATATTTATCCCAATCTCTTAACAATTTCTGTGTCTACATTATTGCACACTGAGAATTAATATTTAGAAGAGTGATCTTACAGCTAATCACAAAAGAGAGAAAGATAAAAACACTTTAGGTTAATTGTACTTAAGTCCAGAAAATGAACTATTATATTTTAGCAACAAATACTCAGACAGGTGATTTTCTGGTTAAATTAGTTTAGTCAGTAATGTTTGTTAACCAGAATACTGTACCCTAAGCATTCCGGTTAATCGAGATTTTACTGTATAATTGTATTGTATTGTGATCCATATGCTTAATGCCTAATAATACTAAGAAAACGAAATTTGCTTCATGCTAATAGAAAATTCTAATGGCAAAAGGAAGCAATTAGAGTCATTATTCTCTCTCTGCCATTATTTGAAACCACTTTAAAGAGAAAAATGTATCTACAAATAAAAGCTTATGTATCAGTTCAGCAGAATCACACTATTTTATAGGCTTAGATAGAAATAGCTAGCTTTTTCTGGAGTTTTAAAAGTATCATTTCTAATATAGAGAACACAGCTTGTAAACAAGGTAATAATATAGCCACACCATTCCCTATATCTATAATACATAATTGTAAGAAAATTTAAGTCATAAAGACAGCCCAGAAGTATTGAATGGCAGCTTTGACCGAAGTATAATAATGCCCGTGCCTCTTTTCTGTTTTAGGTGTGGTGGCTTAAGAGAATTTTCCCAGCGAGTTTTTTGCCATGGGGCACCCCCTTTTGTTGTCTTAAATATGCAGCACTGGAAATCTGAAGATCTGGCATATGTACCCTATTACTTGGATTTATCTGACCACAAGTAGGTGTTTTTTTGTTTCTCTATAAAATTACTGAAAATAATTTTTTTTATCCTATTATTTATCATAATTTTGACTATCCCTTAAGAAAATATTGTTGGAAAAAATCATAGCTATCTCTAAATTTATGTATTCTGAATAGGACAGAATCTACTAGAGAAAGTCAGTCACCAGCAGTGTGCATAGTGGTTAGGTACTTGGACTATAGAATAGACAGAATTGGGTTCAAATCTTAGCCCCATCTTTTACAAGATATATAACCTTGGGCCAATAACTTAACCAGTTATCACATGAGTTTTCTTAGATATAAACAGAGATGACAGTATTTACTCGGTGCCATTATTGTGGGGATTTAATAAGATAGCACATGCTAAGGGATACGGAATAGTGCCTGACGCATAGTAAGCAGTCAGGAAATAGTGGCTATTATTGGTATTTTAAGTCGAAGAAGTATATAGTAATCTACGGGAGTCATCATTTAAATATAAAATGCCATCATTTTAATCATTATGTAATAAAATCATATGATAAAAATATTTGCATACAAATCAAAAAATACAGGGTTCTTTTAGCATTTTGCCTTTAAATTTTTTTATGTGTTTTGTATTTTTTAATAGAACCACACAAGTTATGAGTTAATCTGTTAAAATATGTTATGTAAAAATTCTTAAATTATGTCATTCTTTAAACATTTTATTCCACATTACCAATTATAGTACATGATTTATACAGATGGATATCTTTTTCAGGGTACAGAATGCAAACAATCTCAATTATTTTATTCCTTAGTTAAGAATTTAAGCAATGTTTATCTTTAAAAAAATTTTAATTTTCTGCTACACTTTGTCATTTAATTTGCAGGTATTTGTTGGAAGGTGCCACATTATTTAACAAAGAAGAACATCATTATTCTGCGGCTTTCCAGATTGATGGACATTGGATGCACTATGATGGCCTCAGAAATGTGAATTTAATTTTGTTAAATAAACCCCCAGAGTTTCTCCTCTTGTCATCATTGGTTTATATTCGAGCAACAGAGAAATAAATATAGACTGATGCTAAATTAAATTGTTTTCCCTCCTGCCCATGCTCCCCAGATGAAGGGCTTTATTTTGTGTATACTTGGTATCCAAGGAAATAGTTCAACTATAATAGTTTCAGAGGTGTGTTTTCCAGTGTTTAGCCCCAGGTAAATCTTTTATATAGAGGATCTATGCAAAAATGTTTGTATTTCTTTATTATATTTCCTAGGTTATTTTTATACAAGCATATTTTATGTTGAAATAAAATTTATCTTATGGACTTTGTATTTTTTATTTGTATGTACCTTGAAGATTTTTACAATTCTGTCCTTGAATACAAGAAAATACTTTGTCATCAGAATTCTAAATTTTTCTTTTTAGATCCAAGTAAAACCTGGGTAAAAGTCAGTATTGCAGTTTATATAAATTTAATAGTTAAAAATATATTTCTTTGCCCTACCTCACTATAATCCAAAGTGCACTATTGGATTTTGTATGGATTTGATTGTACAGCTTATAGATGGCTTAGTCTATTTTACCTGTCAATTTGCTGAATTTTTCTGTGGCAATTTTTAAAAACATTTATGTGAGAAAATTTTCTGAGCTTAATGTATTTCTTTATAATGGCAAATTATCTGACACTTTAACCACTTGCTAAAATATTATAAACCTGCCAAAGGATTTTAAATGTTAACTAAGCTTCCAAGTTGAGTTAAAGTTATTTTTACAAATTGTATAACTGTCCTAAGAGTTTATCTCATAATAAAATGTAATTGAAATGCTCTAATAAAAATGTATTTTGCACATAAGACAGCTATAAAAAATATTAGCAACTGGATGTTTACTAGCATTGGACTATTAATAGAAATGTACTTTAAACATATACTATATTTAAAATAGGTGCCTGGAAATATTTCTTCTCCTAGTGAAGTTTTATATTGGCAAAGAGAAAAAAATACTTAAACTTTTGGAGTAACATTTGCTGGCTCCCTTGTAAGTAGTAATTGATAGCATGAGACTTTGACTTGCAATATAAGTCACTAGAATTTTATAGTTATCAGAATATTATATTTCTTTAAAAAGATTGCTCATTTTTTTGCAATTTAAGGGAAAAAATAAAGATTCCCAAGGAAAAATACTTTTTGAAATTTATCACCATTTGTTTTAGTGTTTACATTTCAATAAATAGTCCACTTTAGGTTTTGGGTTGAAATTAAGAGTGGTATATTTGGAGACTTCTACATGACAACACAGATCACTGCCATATACCAAATTGCCAAGATCTCATTCAATAAATTAAATCTTACATTGGCATGGTGCCATGTTAAGAAAACTTACCAAAGAATGGATAAATGTGGGTGAAACACTGCAGAGAATTCCTCATTTTAGTAAATACTATTTAGTAAATATTTATATAAAAATTCCCTTTTTTATATAAGATAAAAAATAATGATTTATTTTACAAAAAAACATTGCCCAAGGTTTATTTAAATAGTTCCCCAAGTATATTTAAATAGGATTTTACTGTCAGCTTTTCTAGGGACACCTTATTGGATGAATCAAAGTATACCAAAACACAAATATTAGTGTATACATAAATGTTGTCATTAACAAAATTTATTCCTAATGCAGATTTATTCTTTTAGGAATTGCACTTTATTTGGAATACTAGTTTACCATGAAACAATGAGTTACCTACCTCACAGGGTTGTTGTGAGGATTAAGATGTTTGTTAAAATCTTGACTACCTTCAACATGCTAATAAAAAACATACTTTTTACCTCTTTCATATACAGGCAAGGCTTCCAGATTTTCTCTTACTAATAATTTTCAGATTTTTAAAAATTAATTAGGCTCATATGACTAATGTATTTAATGTGTAATGGAAATTAAGTATGCCTTCTATACCCCAGATGGTTAGGGTTTATGGAGAACAGGTGGCTTATTATTACGGTAGTGGGTGCTTGGTGGAAAGAAGAAATTATCCCCTGCTGACCAAACAGTGAATAGGAAAAGGGTAAAGAATGGGCTAAACTAGATTATATACAGAATGTGAAGGTGAGGGTATGGAAAATTATTTGGAACCCTAAACACCCTTAGAGAAATCAGAATAATCTACTTGGGGTAGGGGACGGTGGCAAAAGATATGAGGAAATAATCAGAATGTATTTTTAATCAAAATACCACAAACCACTACTATACTTATGGGGAGAGCAAAGATAATTTTAAAACCTCGAAAGAACAAATAAAGGAAATTTAAGGAGGAACCTTCACCTAGCTTCTCTTCTGCAAAAGAAACCTTTTCCTCTCCAGCTTCTGCAAATAGACTTACTTAGATTAATCCTTCAAAGTAGCTTTTCATTTACAAATTTATTAGAGTTGACTTAATATCTGAGGCACTGTCACCAGGTCTGATTCAATGAAAGAAAAAGAGAAAGGATAACTGACTACCACAGGCTTGCTTACTAGGGTGAGTCCTGTGTTCTATTTCTTTCTTAGAGTATGAGCGAACAACAAACTATATAAGCAGTAAGTACTATGGTAAACAAAAAGCTGTACATGTTGAGCAGATGATCAGTTTAGTTTTAAATGATTTAATAAGGTTTAATTATTAATATTTGAAACAAACTGTAATGCACTGTAAGTAGGCAGAGAAGGGTAAGCAGTTCATATAAAATGACTGTATTTAGTGCTACTAAACGACAGTCAAAGCAAATATTTTTATTTTTCTCATGTTCCTTTCTTAATGCACTAGCATTTAAAATACACATCAAATTCTTCTTCCTTAAAATAGCATAGCTTTTTAAGTTCATCTTATTGTTTTATTTATACAAAGGTCTTAACTCTGATGCCTTACAATCAGGGGTTCCTACATCCCACCCAACTGGCCCAGGGTTTGCTCTCCAGTCACCTGGACAGCAGCCTCCTTGCTATGGTTTGAATGATGGTGTCCCCTCCAAAGTTCATGTTGAACTTAATCCCCATGGTAGTGGTATTGAGAGGTGGGACCTTTGGGGGTGATTAGATCATGAGGCCTCTGCCATCATGAATGGGATTAGGTACCTTTATAAAAAGGCTTGAGAGGAAGAGTTTGGCCTTTTTGCCCTTCTACCTTCTGTCATGTGAGGATGCAGCAAGAAGCCCTTTTTAGATGCTGGCACCTTGTTCTTGGGCTTCCCAACCTCCAGAACTGTAAGAAATAAATTCTGTTCTTTATAAATTACCCAATGTCAGGTGTTTTGTAATAGCAACACAAACGGACTAAGACACTCCTTAATCTCAAATTTAATTTGATCGTGGGGGCCGGGCGCGGTGGCTCACGCCTATAATCCTAGCACTCCGGGAGGCCGAGGCAGGAGGATGGCTTGAGCTCAGGAATTCAAGAACAGCCTGAGCAAGAGTGAGACTCCCTCTCTGCTAAAACTAGTAAAAATTAGCCAGGTGTTGTGGCGCACACCTGTAGTCCCAGCTACTCGGGAGGCTGAGGCAGGAGGATCGCTTGAGCCCAGGAGTTTGAGGTTGCCGTGAGCTAGGCTGATGCCAGGGCACTCTATCCTAGGCAACAGAGTGAGACTCCATCTCAAAAAAAAAAAAAAACATTGATCCTGGGGAAAATACAATATAGCCTTTAACTCTGGGAAGTTGAGGAGGAGGAAGTTAGTAGGGAGGCCTCTGTAGCTAGATGATTTCTTTATATCTACCTGAGGGTGTATATTAGCCTATTTACATTCAATCAGTTCCATAGTCCATTTGTTGTTTTCTCAATAAGGTCGTCTGCAAGGTATCAAGAGGAATATCACTTAAAATCGAAAAAGTGAGCTGCTTTGGCAGAGATCTCAAAAAGGATGTGGAATGGAATAGAAGCTTTGGGAGCAAATTAGCTGTGTAGACAAGTTAGCCATGGCAGAATCAGAACGTTGCTGATGGCACACCTGGCTGCATTTTCATTACTTGTTTGTTTTCTCTTTGGATGCCATAAAGTCCCATTTTAATAGGATTATAAAAATAATATGTAAATCAGTAAATACAAAAAAGGCGTAAGAAGAAAATAAAGATCATCCATAATTTCTCTATTCAGTGATAACCATTGGTTGACACTAGTAAAACCTTTATGGAAAGTCCAGCATGGCTCTTTAGTACTGAAGAGAACCAAGAACCAAGGAGTTAGAGCTTGCCATCAGTGTCCAGGGGGAAAGAAATCCACCCAGTTTGAGAAACATCTTCTCAACCCTTCAAGAACTCATTCTTGTATTTTATGATGAATATCATTCTTTTACACTTCTCTACCTACATCTCAATCGTGGTATTCCAGGTGCCAGAATTGGGGAGCAAGAACCTGATAGCATAAATTGTCCCAAAATAGATACAACCGAATCGATTTCCTGTTTTCCTGTTGACCTAACACAGAAGTATAACAAAGAAAGATTAAAATACCCTGAACATAATTAGCTTTAAGGGTGGAAAAGCTGGTTGAGCAAGTTTTCGAAGAGGAGGGAAGTAGGCATGATGCACAGCTCTGCATAGCCAAGGTATGGGAATTTTAAGGCAGTATGAAAGGAAGGGAGGGGAGAAGAAAGGGAAAACACAGGAGAGCAAGTTAAGCAGAGACCAGGTTAAGGTGTGGAGGAAATGGCTGGCTAGGGAAATCTTTACTCAAGTAGGCTAAGCTTGATTTGGGGGCTGCAAGCTACAACAAGGTAATATTGGATATATTTTTCTCTGCAGCATTCATTTAATGCATACTTATTGAGTATCTGTTATTTGCTAATTCATTTAGGTATGCTTTCTGACCTTAAAGTGTTTACATGAGTAAAAAAACAATGGCTATAGAGAGGGAAGTACTATGGCAGTGTAGGTACTTGAGGCTTTGAGAGTCCACAGGAGAAGCCCCTCTACAGACAACTGCTGAGAAGTCTTTGAAACACGCCTTTCACAGTTGCTGCCTAGTATTCCTGGAGGAGGTTTGTGGAGGAAAGAGACTACGGATCATTTATCTTGTGATTTCCAGGGCAGTTGAAAGGTCCTGTTGCCTCTACCTCTACCCTCAAAGCTTAACTGCCTTTAATTTCCATTAGAACGCTATAAATCTTACATTTAAAGACAAAAGATTTTCAGGCCCCTTCAAATTTTAAAAGAAATGTATTGTAGCTAAAGCAATCTACAAGGATTAATAATCTCAAATTTTTTCTATTTCTGATAAGAGGAAAGAGAGGAGAGGAAAATGAGAGGGTCATTTGGGAGGGTCCTCTTTAAATATTTGGTGAATGAGTTGTCCGCT